ATCCTCCAGGAATGCTGTTGTTGAGGAAATGCTTGTTTACCTACGTCAGTAATTTCCAAGAATATAATGTGCATTTGAAGATCAAATGTGAAAACTCCAGCATTTGGATGAGGTTGAAGCTCCCGTGGAATTGCAGTCTGGCTGCTCCCAGCTGGCTCTTCACCCCAGCTCATCAAAACCATGGAAAAGCAGGGGATTGCCAGCTCCAACAGTGGGAGGGTTAGCCCTGAACCCCTCCACTTGGAAATCCTTTATGGCATTATTATTCCAGTGAAGATAAATGTGATCAACAGCAGGAGCCATTACATGTTCCCTACAATGCAAGTTACCTTGCTACAGATTTTTTTATATATGTTTTCTTATTTTTCATGTATGCAAGGAGGAAAATACTTGTAAAATCCCGTACATTTTTTTAGAGTGTATTTACTAAGATTACAGAAGAATAACTCACTGACGAGATGCTTGGCACACATCACACTCTCCCATCTTTCCCTGTGATGTCATGAAATCAGAATCCCAGAATGGCTGGGGTTGGAAGGGACCTTAAAACTCATCTTGTTCCACCCCTGCTATGGGCAGGGACACCTCCCACCTGGCAGTTGCAGTTTGCAGAGAAGGACAGCCTCGAGGAGAGCATCCCAGCAAGGGAAGCACCAGGTCGGGTGTAACTGGGTGGGTGGGAGCAAGGCAGAGGAGACACCCCCGGTCTGGGATTCTGGGATTCTGGGATTCCGGGATTCCGGGATTCTGGGATTCTGGGATTCTGGGATTCCGGGATTCCGGGATTCTGGGATTTGGGATTCTGGGATTCTGGGATTCCGGGATTCTGGGATTCTGGGATTTGGGATTCTGGGATTTGAGATTCTGGGATTCTGGGATTCTGGGATTTGGGATTTTGGAATTCTGGGATTTGAGATTCTGGGATTCTGGGGTTATGGTGGCAGGGTCTTTCCTAAATCCTGCAGCTGGAGGCTAGGTCCAAGGTGATGGATGCAGGAGGCAGGATGTGCTCTGTTGTATTGCACTAAATAGCTTATTTAGTTGTTTTGCACTGGGTGATTGGAGATTTGCACTGAGTAGTCTTTATATTGCATTGTTCCAGTCTGGGATTCTGGGATTCTGGGATTTGGGATTCTGGGATTGTGATGGCAGGGTCATTCCTAAATCCTGCAGCTGGAGGCTGGGCCCGAGGTGATTGATGTGCTCCATGCCCGTGCCTTTGCAGGCAGGCAGGGGCACAGAGCCGCAGGGGCAGTCACGGGAGTGTGACAGGGACAGGGAGTGTGCAGGCTGCTGCCAGCAGGCAATAACTAAATCCTAAATAAACCCTGCTGTGTGCTCGGCCAGGAGCAGCCCGGGCCCTGCGAGGCCCCTGCAGGCAGTGCCAGGGCATGGCTGTGCCCCAGCACATCCACCTGCTGCTGGGCTGCCTGTGCCCCTGTCCCCCTGTCCCCCTGTCCCCTGTCCCCCTGTCCCCGTGTCCCCTGTCCCCCTGTTCCCCTGTCCCCGTGTCCCCTGTCCCCTGTTCCCCCGTCCCCCTGTTCCCCTGTCCCCCTGTTCCCCTGTCCCCGTGTCCCCTGTGCCCCTGTCCCCCCGTCCCCCTGTCCCCCTGTCCCCGTGTCCCCTGTCCCCTGTCCCCCTGTCCCCCGTCCCCCCGTCCCCCTGTCCCCCTGTCCCCCCCGTCCCCCTGTCCCCCCGTCCCCCTGTCCCCTGTCCCGCCGTGCCCCGCGGCTCGGGCACAGGTGACCCTGGTGTCGCACACCTGTGGAGGCGCTCGGTGCCCGGTGAGCGCTGCCGCCGGCTCTGCAGAGCCCGGTGCGGTGCGGGGGCTGCCGAGGGGCGAGGAGGGTGCCGGGCACAGCCCCTGCCGTGCCCACCCCGGCTCTCTGAGTCTCCTTTGCCCCCTGGCACCCTGCCCAGCGCCCTGCCCGAGCAGGTACCCGTGTCCCTTGGGGCCCCCTCGGACCCCGTGGGGCTCCCCCCGCCCCATGCCCGACCCGCTGCCCCTCCAGCAGCCCCCGGGCTGTGCAGAGGGCGATGCCCGAGCCCCCCGGGGCAGGGCTGGGGTCCCTCTGTGGCATCCCCAGGTGCCCCAGCCCGGGCTGGGGTCCCCCTGCCACACCCCCAGGTGTCCCTGCCCGGGCTGGGGTCCCCCTGTGGCACCCCCAGGTGTCCGTGCCCGGGCTGGGGTCCCCCTGCCACACCCCCAGGTGCCCCTGCCTGGGATAGGGTCCCTCTGTGGCACCCCCAGGTATCCCTGCCCGGGCTGGGGTCCCTCTGTGGCACCCCCAGGCGCCCCTGCCTGGGCTGGGGTCCCCCTGTGGCATCCCCAGGTGCCCCTGCCTGGGACGGGCCGGACGGAGCTGCAGCTGGCATCAGGGAGGAAAGTTTGTAAAGAAAGTACTGAACACAGACTTCCCGGGGTATCAGAAGGAAAATTTATGCATCGCCTTTGAGTTCAACTTCTCCATTAAAGCTTTTTCCCTATAATCTAGGGAGTTCTTATCTTGGTGACTTATGATGTTATGGAGGGGCTCATGCATGGAAAATGTCAATAGAAATAGTAACTCTAGAAGGGAAGGGCCTCCTAATTAGTCCCCATTTAGATTTTATGATGGCTTTGAGATCTGCTCATCCTGACAGTGCGCACTCTGGTTACATATTGTTCTAGCCTGAGGGAACCATAGGAAAATCCAGATTTATTGTACCTATCATACCAGCATATTTCATTTGCCATTATGAGCAGCCATCTCGCAATGATGCAGGAGTATTTATTACAGATTAAATTGTAGGACCTGGATGGTTTAGTGAGGTTCTTGAGGTATCATTTATGTCATTAACTGGCTCATTATCAGATCTGCAAATCTCAATTCCTTTTTTTGTGCCTTCTGTTTCCAAGCAGGGACCTGGGCTGGGCTCTGGCAGGTCCCAGGGTGTGTGTGAGGCCAGGGCACGCAGGGGGTGCTGGAGCCGGGGCTGCTCGGGGTCCCTGGGGAGCCCCCAGCTCCACACGAGAGCCACCACACCTGCCCCGAGCGGTGCCACCTCCCGGCCCCGTGGCCCCACACCCATCCCTCTCCATTAGCCACAGCTCAGAGAGGTGAGCCTGGGAAAGGCACTGGTAGGAGAGGAGGTAATTTAACTCTAATTATTTAACAAGTCTGTTCCAGGCGTAAGCTTATTACCAGCGGCGAAAGGATACGCTGGATTTTTTTCCTCTCTCTCTCTCTCTTTTATGCTTTATCTCTACTTGGAGAATTATTTGAAGAGGTTTAATCCAGCCTTGATTGTTGTTGTTAATGGGCAAGGAGAATGGGTTATTCCATGTGCTCGGCTCTCCAGAAAAGTCATGGGCAAAGGAGCTCTCAGGCACTGCCTGGCTCTTCGATTTAGTGATATTATTTGAATTTATTGTTCGATTCGACTCGCGTGTCCTGCCTTGTTGGTATTTGCCCTATTTACTCTCCTATATTGCTTTTTCATAAAACCAGGGGATGGCATTTAAGTTGTTGTGTTCTTTGGTATTAAAAGGCACTTGGAACAAGCCCGGGAGCACATCCTGGATTGTGGGGTTCAGGGCATGCTCTGCTGCAGAGCCTGCCCCACTCTTGGGTTGCTGAGATTAATTAATTCCTGTGGTGGCCAATATTTGTGGGGAAGAAAAAGCTTGGGAGGACAGAAATAATGCATGAAAATGCCATCTCTTCTTGCCCCTCACTTGGTGGCCAAAGGCTGTGGAGGCTGTTTGCAGCGGCTGATTGCACCCCAGTTTCTTTTGTGGGTGTGGTGGGTCTGGGGCTCTGCGCTGCTGGCAGTGTGAGGATAAATTCAGGCAGGGTATTTGTCACACCCTGGGCTGTTCCTGAGCTCCACGGGTGCCCCACGGCATCGCCCCAGAGGGAGCAGCTGCAGGGCAGGGCTGGGGGACCGGGCAGGAGGGAGAGGAGGGGGAGCCCAGCCCTGCAAGCCCGGCTCAGCCCCCAAACCAGGGGTGGGCACCCAAATATTCCCCTGAGAGTGGTGCCAGAGCAGCCCCGGGGAGGCTCCTGTGCTGGACCCTCAGGGGGGTCTCTCCCTGCACCCCAAAACCTTCCCCAAAACACCGGAACATTCCGTGTGAGGACAGGCACACAACCTCCAAATAAATCCACAGTGCCTTTTGGAGATCTGTAAAAATTAATGCTTCCCAGTGCTTGGTGCTCTGCTCCTGATTTTAATTATTTCAGTTATTTATTTTATTGAACACTTTGTACCTGTCTTCAAGGCAGAGCTGTCTGCTCCAGGGTTCAGCTGCCACACCAGGTTGGAAATAGAAGGTGTGTGAGCATTTAGGTGTGTGCGCTTTTCCTTGAAAAGCATCAGCATCATGTAAGATTTAAAAATGTTCAAATGAGATGCCTCTCCCTCTAATTTACACACATCCCTTCCCTATTTATTTAATTTACATTGCATTTTCCTGTATCAGTCAAAATAAAAGGACATTTATAAAGGAAAAGGAGAAGAATTGTTGGGTGTTTATCTCAAACCAGCCTTCCAACATCTGGCTGCAGCGTGCACACTGACTGAGGGAATCCTGCATGAGAAAGGCAGCAGAAGTGGCAGTGCCTGTGTGTCCCCTCTAAAGGGACATTTTCTGTTCTAGCAGCTGCAGGGCCACCAGGAAATTCAGGTATTTTGTGAAACCTACAGCTGCACCAGCGAGGAAAGGCTCGCTGAGCAGGGTTGCTTTGGACATTGTTTAGCTATTCCTGTGCTGGATGTTTTAAATTGAAAAAGGAGTGAAATTAATAAAAAAAAAAAAATAAACGCCTTTACCTGAGTTGATAGCAAATTTCAGAGAATTTAGGACTGAAGGAGCCATCTCCCCAGGCTGGATACCACAGGTAGCCCTGGGTAAACAGGATCTGCTCAAAGCAGAGCTTTGTGAGGATGCCCTCGCCAGGCTCGGTCTTTGCCGGGTAATCTGAATATTGAGGCTGCTCGTTAATCTCCATTCCTGGCTTAGGCTGGGCTGGGCTGCTCCGGCAGCAGCCGCTGGGTTGCCGTAGGAACCAGGAATTCAAGTAAATATGCTCAGGAAGGAGAAATGTCTACTAATTAAATGTGAGTAGCATTGATAAAGGGCCAGGGCTGGGGAAAGGTGGAACGTGATGGCCTTCCTTGTAATTCACTGGAAAATACGTTTATATCTCTCTATATCTAATCTATATCTATATTTATATCTGTATCTACATCTATGCCATCTATATCTATATCTATATCTATATCTATATCTATATCTATATCTATATCTATATCTATATCTATATCTATATCTATATCTATTTTACATATATGGATAATATTATAGAAGTAATATAGAAAAAATACATTTATATGTATGTATCTGCATACCTAGAAATTATATATATGGATAATAATACAGAAAATACCTATCTATATATTTCTCTCTATAATATATATATGGATAACAATATAAAAATACCTATATATGTATATATGTATAAGAAAATATATAAAATATATATATGAGAGGTTTACAAGACTTATAAATGATGCATATACCTCTTTGTGGGGAGAACTGCATACATTGAAGATGACAGCAACATTTTTATATAGAAGTGACACTTTATACCTTTTTTTCCTTTTGAGGCTATAAATTCCGTAATCTTCTCAGATCCTTTTTATGGCTTGCACATGGCAGGTGAAGGCATTCCCTGGCTCTCTGGGTGCTGGGGGCCCTGATCCACCCTCTCCAACACCCACCTTGCACACCAGGGGGATTTTCATGGAAAGGGACCCCGTGCCCCACTTGGTGCCTCAGTTTACCCCGGGGGCAAATGGAATAATCAAACTTCCGATCTCCCATTTCTTCTTTGCTTGCTCCTGAGCTGATTCCCTGCTTTTATCCCAGAAAAGAGCTGTTTAATGCTGCACCCATAAAGGAAGCCCAGCTGGACCCCGCAGGTGCCGTTTGGTGCCAGGCCCAGCTGCTGGGCAGGGATGCTGACACCCAGCATCTCCCAGAGATGTCCGTCCAAACCAAATGAACAGCAAACGTGGGCAATTAATGGCACATTGATAAACAATCATGATGTCACCGGTGGGGAAACTGAGGCAGGAGAGGAGATTTCATGTAAAGCCCGTAGGTGTGGCACCTGGGGACACGGGTTAGGGTGGGCACGGTGGTGCTGGGTTAGAGCCTGGGCTCAGGGCGCTTTTCCAACCCAAAGGATTCCGTGATTCTGTGATAAAATCTCTGCTATTGGTGAGTTGCTTTGTGAGCTTCCCCTCCCGGAGTGCCGGGGACACGCCGGGCTCTGCTGAGCGCTGGAACCACAGCAAGGGCATCGGGGCTGGTTTTGTGTCCCCGGGCCCCACAGCCCCTGTGCAGCCCCAGCCGTGCGCCCGGGCTCTCAGCACAGGAGGCTCGGTGTCCGTGTCACAGCCCCTACGGGAGCTGCCCGGCTCCGGGGCAGCACTCAGGGTCCCTAAGGGCCGGTTTGCTGAATTCCTGAATTCCTGCCAGATGTGCAGCTGATGTTCCGCCCGCCGGGCAGCGCTCCCGGCGGAGCAGGACGAGGTGTCTTCATCTGCATAAGCACGTGGACTCTGCGCTCGTCTCATTCTCGTTTTTAATTACAGTTCAAGGACTAAATCCATCTCAGTCAGGCTTGTGCTCAGCTGGGATAAACCCAGGAGGGTCCCAGATTTACAGCAGGGCAGGGAGAGCAGGGTGTGCCTGGTGTCCTGATGCTCCTGGGGGCTCTTACCCTTGCTCCTGGCTGGTTTTTACACTTGCCTTGGCTGCTACCCTTGGCCATGTCCCTGAGGGAACAGGGGTTTGGGCAGGGCTCAGAGTGCTTCACTGGCCAGAGCAGCTCTGGGCTCTCTGCTGGGACCCCTGTAGTGCTGGGACCCCTGTAGTGCTGTCACCCCTGTAGTTCTGCCACTCCTGTAGTGCTGTCACCCCTGTAGTGCTGTCACCCCTTTAGTTCTGCCACCCCTGTAGTGCTGTCACCCCTTTAGTGCTGGGATCCCTTTAGTGCTGGGACCACTTAGTGCTGTCACCCCTTTAGTTCTGTCACCCCTTTAGTGCTGTCACCCCTGTAGTGCTGATACTCCTTTAGTGCTGTCTCCTTCTGTCCATCCCTGCCTTGGCTTCTCCTGTCCCCACCTGGGCTGACCCCAAAGCCCTGTGGTTGCCCTGTGAGCCTGGGCAAGGACAGGGGTTCAGAGCAGGGGTGGTGGTCCCAGGGCCGCCCAGGACCCCCAGCCACCCTCATCCTGGGGCCTTGCTGCCTGCTCCTCCCTTTTTCCCACCGGCCAGGGAAGGACCCATGGGATGAGGAGTAGCAAAGCTGGGATGCTCCAGCTGCCTGCAAGAGCTGGTGGCCCCAAGCCCTGAGGAGCTGGCCACCATGCCCCTCCATGCTGGGGTCAGTCCCTGCCCCGGCCAGGGCTTGGCCCCGTGCTGCCCTTGGGGACGGGGCTGGTCAGAGGAGCAGTGCCCTGTGCTGCCCTTGGAGACGGGGCTGGTCAGAGGAGCAGTGCCCAGCCCACAGAAGTGGTCCCAGGACCCCCATCAGCTCTGACTGGCCCAGCTGCAGCTCTTTCCCCCTGTCCTGCCCTCAGTGCTCCATCAGTGGGGACAGGCCCTGGTGGGCAGCAGGACCCCACAGCCACGGTGCCACCCTCTGTCCCTGCCGTGGGCACGCTGCAGGAGCCCCAGCAGCATCCAGCACATCCCCACAGCATGGAAAAGGGCCTGGAGAGAGACAGGCTGCTCCCGGTGCCCCCGACCATTTACAATTTATATGTCCTTGTCAGACGGGGAGTTTGATAGCTCTAATGTCATGTTTGTCCTTCACCTGGAGAAAATCCCCTTTAAAGATCACCAGCCCGGCTCTGTTGACAGGAACTGCGCAGGTCACGCCTTAACTTGTGCGGGATCGTTCCAAAATGCAGATCTTTATCTGGACTGAAGGCACGGGGAGAGAAAAGCCCCAAATCCCTGTGATTCCCGGGTGGGATGGGGCCCAGAGCAGGTCTGGCTGTGGAGAGGAGCTGGGTGAATTTGGGGATGCAGCAGCCCCGTGGTGCCAGAGCCTGGATGGCTCCTCCAGCAGAACCAGGCTGTGCTGGGCAGGATTTCTTTCCATTTCTGGCAAGGCTTTCTGAAATGTAAATATTGCCATGCCCTGTCTGGACACTTCTGCTCCTCCCTGGTACTTCCATTTTCCAGGAATCCTTTATACACAGCTCCCAGAGATCCATGCCAGAGGAGGAGCAGATCCCCGGGGCAGAGCCTGTGAAGCAGCCGCACTCCTGGGTTTGGTGGCATGTCCACCCCTTTCCCATGACCTGGCATCCAGGAGCCCTTCCCTGCCTGCCTGCAGCTCTGCTGGCCCAGCCCTGCCTGCAGCGTGGGGCTGGGGGTGTGCTGGGATGGGCAGGAGCTCTCCTGGGAGCTGGGAGATTCCTGGAGAACATGAGCTGGGATGTGGGGATGGGAGCCTTGCTCCCCTCTGAGCCAGAGGAACTCCCAGCCAGGAACTGGAGCTGCTGTGCCTGGGACAATGACCTGGCCAGGCAGGTTTGCTCTCTCTGGAGGGGTACCCGTGCCTTGCTCAGCAGCTGCAGCTTCCCCAGTGATGCTGCTCCCAACAGGACACCACGAGGGACACTCCATAGTCCCACAAAAACACCTTCAGGGTTTCAGCCTCCTTTTTATTGGGCTTGTTCCTGCTTCTCTCTCAACATCCACGTGCCCTTGAACCACTCTGCTCCTGGCTGCTGCTCTGTGCCTCCCTTTGGGACCTGCCCCAGCCCAGGGGAGCTGGTCAGGGGCAGGGAGCCAGGTGAGCCCCAGGTGTGCAGCTGCAGCTGCCCCAGCCCCAGCCTGTGCTGAGGTGATCCCTCGGGAATTTAGAACCCAAACTCCAGTGTGCCTCTCACACAATTCACCCATTGGATGCTAAAGCTGGGTGCAGCCTTAAAAATAAGGGAAGACAAAGCACCCCTGAGGGCCTGACCCGAGCTGTCCCCTGGGAACAGGAGGGGTGTGCTGCTGGGTTTGGGCACCCAGGGAGGGCAGGCTGTGCCCAGGGCACACGTGGGACTCACGTTAATTTAAGGGGAATTATGTGAATTGTACAGCATGGGTTGACTATACTCCTGAGTATTGCAGTTATTATGTTTACCATCAATATTCATGAAGGCTCCTTAAAAAAAAAAAAAAAAAGGCAGCGGGGAAATTTTGCTCTGAAGCAGAGAACTGCCACTTCTGGGAGAGCCTGCAGAAGCAGTGTGCATTTCCCAGTTTATTTGTCCTCTGTTTTTCTCAGAGTGTTGTCTGGAGTTCTGAGAAGAGTTGTTGAAAAAAACAAATTGTGCTGGTGCACTTCATTTTACAAGGGTCCAGAGGGACCAGGCAAGGGGAATGGCTTCTCCCTGATAGAGGAAAAGGTTGGATGGAATACTGGGAGGAAATTCTTGGCTGTGAGGGTGGGCAGGCCCTGGCACAGGGTGCCCAGAGCAGCTGAGGCTGCCCCTGGATCCCTGGCAGTGCCCAGGGCCAGGCTGGACACTGGGGCTTGGAGCACCTGGGACAGGGGAAGGTGTCCCTGCCATGGGTGGGATGGGATGGGCTGTAAGGTCCCTTCCACCCTAAATCATTCTGGAATTTTAGGCGTCTACAACCATCATTGCTGTTTTTGGCCCCTTCAGAAAATGGATCTGGTTTGATTTTTAATTTGCTTTGGAGTTTTCCAGCCCAGACATCACCTTTGTCAAAGGAAACATGTAACTTCAGGCCAGAGAACCTGAGGAAATCTGGGTTCTCCTTGTGCAGCTCTTGTCTGGGTGAATGCTGCAGTACAAGCTGTATCCAGTGCCAAGGGACAAAATTCGGTGGGCTTTTCCCTGTTATTGCTGCAGCATCATTTTGTTTGTTGTAGGTACCACAGCTCAGGCATCGCCCCCTCGCAGGAGCGCTTTGGGTTCTGCCAGCAGCTGCAGGTGCTGCAGGTGCTGCTGGGCCTGGGGAGGGCAGCCGGGGGTGCGGCGGGGAGGGCGAGGGTCCCCAGCCGCGGTGCCCCTGCCAGGCCGGGCCCCTGTCCCCTCTCTGGTTCAGGCCAGCAGAGGGAAAAGGCAGCAGCGAGCCCTCGCCTTCTGCCGCGGCCCCGCGCCGGCTGCCAACAGGGCACTGCTCTGCCAGTTGTAAATTTTAATTGGCCATCTGGGGAAAGCACAAACCACTGACTAGAGATTAATCAGTAAATTAACCCAGGCATAATACACATTTCCCAGCGGGGCCCGGGCTGCCGGAGGCTGGGCGGGATGCGGCAGGACCGCGCCGGGATGCTGTTATTGCTTACCGCGAACATCCTCCCCGCGTCCCCAAATTCCCTGCAGCCTGACCTTGCCGCCGACCCTGATTTGTATGGCAGTTGCCGGGAGGCTTCCCCGTAATGCTCGACACAGATGGCACAGGTAGCGCTGATGGATCGGGGATGTGACACCTTCCCTCTGGTGCGGGAGGAGCCGCCCGTCCCTGCGGCTGTGCCCGCCGGGGCTCAGGCTGTGCAGCCGGAGCCCAGCCTGGAAACAGAGCTGGGCAGAGGCAAACAGCGGGAAGGACAAGCTTCCCGTCCTTTATTTAATTACTCTTATCCCGCAGAAAGATTCCAGGCATGCCTCGTGTAGCAGGAGAGTCGCATCTGCTGGCACATCCCAGCCCAGGAGCCTCCCTGGCTGCAGATCCCTGATGGGGACAGGCTGGGGACAGGCTGGGGAGAGCAGAACCTCACCCTCTGCCTTGGGCTGCCCTTTGCCCTCAGTGGCCCCTCCCGTGAGGCTGGCAGGAGCAGCAGGGAGGAGCAGCAGGGTGAGCCTGGACCAGCAGCATCGCTCTGCAGCCTGGGCTGCAGGAACCTGCGGGGTTCGGGTTCAAACTCATCTCACAGGGACAGCTGTGACACACTCCCCGGCCCTGGAAGTGCTCCAGGCCAGGCTGCACCAGCAGGGGATCACAGAATCACAAAATCCCTGCACAGTTTGGGCTGGGAGGGACTTTGAAGCTCCTCTTGTTCCACCCACGTTCCACTAAAGCAGGTGGCTCCAAGCCCCATCCAGGTATCCTGGCTGATGGAATAGCACAACACACAAGCTGTACTCACGGCTCCAGTCCTTGGATGGATGGAAATGTCTGCCCAGTCTGCAAAGTGCTTTGGGATAATTGCAGAAAACAGCCCTGTGTCCCCCACACAGCATCAGCACCACGGGGGCACCTTCTCCACCACACTTGGTACTTAAGCCTTGAGGTGTGGTTCAGTTTCTTGGCCTGTAGGAGTGACTCTGTCCTAAAGAAGGAGCCTGGCTCTTTGGAATTTAAATAGTTCTCCTAATAAGTGGTTCCTTGCCTGGAAATATATGGATGCACCACTGTATCGTGTCTATGATTTTGCATTTTCCCCACTGTCTCTTCTGCCTGACATGATAATGAGCTCTGTGTTAAGCCAGAAAAAAGCAATTTTCTCCTGAGGTTAATTTCTTTGGATTGCCCACCTGAAGTGGGGAGTTGCATATAAATTCTAATTTGTACTGAAGTGCAGAAGATTGAGTTAGTTTTTTTTTTGGCATCGATGATACAGTGCAAATCTTTATTGACATACAGGGTGTTTTGTCCTGCCTTCCTGGCATTGCCTCGGGAAGAAAATGGTGATGAAACCAGTTGTGGCTCTGTGTGTCCCTTTGAACAGGCTCCAGCTTGACAACAAGAACCTGAACTGCCAGGGGGCAGGGGTGGATGGGAGATGATTGGGAATTGGGAATTCCTGGCTGTGAGGGTGGGCAGGCCCTGGCACAGCTGGGGCTGCCCCTGGATCCCTGGCAGTGCCCAAGGCCAGGCTGGACACTGGGGCTGGAGCACCTGGGACAGGGGAAGGTGTCCCTGCCATGGCAGGGTGGATGGGATTTAAGGTCTCTTCCATGAGCCCTGAGTGCCTTCTCCAGGAAATCCTGGGACACCTCCAGGGATGGGCACTCCAAACGTCCCTGGGCAGCCCTTGCCAAGGCCTGGGCCCCTTCTCCATGGGGAAATTTCTGCTGAAATGCCACGTTGCACTGGCACTGCAAAGGACAGGCATGGTGAGGTCTGGCAGAGCCGCTCTGCCTCCTGCAGTTCTGGTCTCCTCCTCACCAGGGCTGCTGCAGGATTTTACCTGTTTGTGGGACAAACAGCCCAGTTATTTCCTTAATTTCCTTACCCAGGCCCATTTTCTTTCAACTGAGCCTAAAGTCTGGAGCTTTTCCAGGCTGGCTTCCCAGAGCAGCACGCCAGACTGCCCCCCCCCAGCATCACTCAGCATTTCATAGGGAGAGGCAAACTGGTGTTGTGATTAATATGTAAAACTCCTAATTAATGGTGGGTCTCAGAGCAGCATGCATAAGTAATTCCTTTGTATTTGATAACAGGGTGTATTGGAGGGGCTCTACACCTCATTATTACCCACCAATTTCCTTAAAGGGTGGGCAGCCCCTTCCTGACAGTCCCTGGTACAGCACTCAAGGGCATGGAAAAACCTATTAATGGAGAAATGGTTCGGGTGGTGGCAATTCCTTACCAAGGAAGTAGGAAGGGGAGTGACCAGGAAAGGGGAGTGACCAAGAGCCACAGGCTCCAACATCCCCCTTGCTGTGGGTGGGCAGGAGCTCCTCCTTCCTCAGCTGAGACTTGGGTAACACCCACGTGTACCGAGAATGGAAAATCATCCATGATTAACTGTAATTTTTACAGACTGACCAGAGGTGCAGACCTACAATGGCATCTCTGGAGCACTGGACCTGCACTGTCTTACTGAGTGGCAAACCCACCCACATTCAGCACCCAACTCAAACACTGGAATGGAAAAAACAAAGAAAGAAGAAAAGGAGGTTGGTGGCTGCAGGAATTGAGTCAGGAGGTCTGGGACCCTCCCGAGCGAGGGGCTTGGTGTGTAAAGCTCCTGCAGGAGAGGATTTTTTCAGGAGGGGTTTTGGGGAGCAAATGTTTGTGTACTGGGGAGGCCAGGCTGGCATGTGCCTCCTGGAAGTGACTGCGAAGAACATATGGCTCCATTTAATGCAAGAGACTTTGTGGATTATAATTGAGTAGATAATTGGGAAAGGGTGAAGATTATGAGAGGGTGGGACTCAGTAATTATTCAAAGCTGCTTTCAAAGACTGACAAAGTGCTCCTTGACAAAGGCCTGGGAGGAGCCAGGACTTCACTGCAGATTTCCTGCTGCTCCAGAAGTCCTGTTGAAGCACGTGTGAGAAATGAGGACTGGTGGAGGGCACTGGGGTGCCGGGCTGGTCGGGGAGGGCGGTGCCCTGGTGATGGTACCTGTGCCCAGCCCAACATCCTCATCCCTGCAGGGACTGCTGGAGGGCTCGGCATGGAAATTTCCATGGCCATGTCCAAACCCACAGATAAAACTGGAGAGCTGACAGAGGGGGAAGGAATTCCTGGCTGTGAGGGTGGTGACTGCCCAGAGCAGCTGTGGCTGCCCCTGGATCCCTGGAGGTGTCCAGGTGGGTTGGATGGGCTTGGAGCAGCCTGGAGCTGTTCCTGGCAGGGGTGGGATGAGGGATGGGCTTTAAGGTCCCTCCCAGCCCCACCACTGCATGGTTCAGTGGTTCTGTGACTCAGAGTGAGCCCAAAGGTGCTGCTCACACACCTCAGGAGGGGCTGCCCTGCACCCACATTGCTTCTTTTGAGGAGTGAACATTGATTTCAATTATTTAAAATTCTGGCCTGTCAAAATATATGTGAATAAACAAATCTGAGCGGGCAAACAACACTCTCATATCCCAAATATTTCTTCTCTTCAGCATGCCTCTCCAGAAAAGCCCGGACGTGTATCTCAAATAATTAGATTTTGTTCAGTAATCAAACTCAATCAGACGGATTCTCTGTGAACTACTTTTATACCCACAATGAGGAATGTGTGTCGTTCCCCGTGCATTTGCATATTTTTCCATAAACCTAAAACCAATCAATTTTGAAGAGTTATGATAATATAAAGAATCTGAGGCAATTACATGTCTTTTAAACAGGGATTCAAAACACATTCCACTGGCAGGGTTCATGGAGTAAAGCAGTCAGAACTTCTTTAACCCTTTTGGAGGCACCTGGGTGAGGGTGCTGTGCTGGGGCTGCTCGTTCCTCCTGGCCTTTCCTTCCTGTCCCAGCCCTGGGCTGCTGCTGGCTCTGCCCTTCTGTGGCTGCAGCCCTGGTGGCACAGCCCTGCCAGGGGAGCTGCCCCAGGGGCCGATAGGCAAATTAGCAGCACCATATTTTCCTCCAAATATCACATCCGCCGCCATATGGGCTGGAACGCAGACTTCTCGGGGATTTCATTTTCATAAACAGGGAGGAATTATGCAAAGTGCTATAGGTAGGGCTTGGAAATGTTTTTTTAAAACAGCCATTTGGTGGAAATGACTTTTTAATGATTTTTCTCTGTGGTTCTGCCTGGCTACGGAAGCCTTTTCCATGTTTATTAAGTGGCTGAGACTTTGCCTCTTGTGCTGTTACTGCTCCTATCCAGAGCAGGCAGAGCATGTCTGGGGGCTCGGATGGGCACCCCAACCTGCACATCCCATCTCACAGGCTTCACCCTGGAGGGCAGCTGTCCTCAAAACCCTGGCTTTGCAAAAAAGGGGATTTTTTTTCAGTGTATTTGTGGCCACGCTGCACCTCCAGAAACCGGGCACACAAGCAGAGCTCGTGCCCAAGGGATGGGGCAGCTGCTGAGGTGAGCATTTGTGAGGACAGTACCCCCATCTCGGTGGCAGCAACTGAAGCCCAGCTGTCACCTCCCTGTCCGTGCTGCGTGCGCGTCACACCCGCCGCTGAAGGATGACACACATGCCATGAGCAGCATCGTTCAGGGGAAAGCAGGTGCAGGAAGAAGATATCTCTGCGTGCCTGACAGGGAGGGAAGCATGTTTGCTCAGAGTATATTGGAGACCCAGGCCCGGGGAGGTCACACCCGTGGAAACGTTCCCGCTGTAATCTGCGGCGGCCGCGGGCTGCGTGTGTCCAACACGGCTGGAGCAGCCCCTGGGCCTTCCCCACGGCCCCCTGCCACCCACAGCCTGCCCAGGCTCCCCTCCACCTGCCTCTGTCTCCATTCCCCACCTCCCCGCACCTGGGGGACCCACAGTCCACCCCAGACCCTCGTGGGCGTCCTCGTGCACCCCTTGTCCTCTCCAGACCCTCGAGGAGCCCTTGTCCTCCCCAGACCCTTGTGGACCCCTTGTCCTCCCCAGACCCTCGAGGAGCTCTTGTCCTCTCCAGACCCTCGTGCACCCCTTGTCTTCTCCAGACCCTCGAGGAGCTCTTGTCTTCCCCAAGCCCTTTTGCACCTCTTGTGTTCTCCAGACCCTTCTGCACTCCTTCTTCTCCAGACCCCTGTGCATCCCTTGTCTTCTCCAGACCTTTGTTCACCCCTTTTTCTGCAGACCCTCGTGCACCCCTTGTCTTCTCCAGATCCTAAAGGACCCCTTGTCTTCTCCAGACCCTTCAGGACCCCTTCTTTTCCCCAGACCGTTGTGCACCCCTGTTCCTCTCCAAACCTTTGTGGACCCCTGGTTCTCTCCAGACCCTTGTGGACCTCTGGACCCCTCCAAGCCTTTGTGGACATTCTCATGGACCCCTAGACCCTCGTGTACCTCTGGTCCCCTCCAGACCCGCTCCTCAGTGGATCATCTGCACATTCAGGATCTGGAGAATGCAGGAAATCCCGGGGCTGGGGGCAGGAGGGGGTGACAGCAGCCAACAAAGGGGTTCCAGCCCATGTCACTGCTGATAAAAGTGGCACTGGCAGAAACGTGGCAGAGCAGCCCAGAGAACAGAGAAGAGAGCCCAGCCTCCCTGGGCTGCAGGGATGCTGCGGAGCAGAGGAGGAGCAGCAATGAGCTGTGCTTTATCAGCACCAGCTCCTCAGGTACAAGCTCTGCTGCTGGCTGGGTGGGAAGGGCAGGGGGCCAGGGAGGAGGGAGGATCTGCAAAAAGCAGCTGCTGCTGTTGGGGAGACCCAGGGGCAGCAGCAACACCCCCTGCAGACCCTCAGTTCATGTAAATTCATATTTATTGGCCTTGTCGTTCTTCTGAAAGGGGCAGAAATTCATTCTGTGTCCTTGTCATTTGTTTCCTACCAGAATATCTTTCACCAGCATTTCCAGTGTCCTCTCCCTGTGCGAATGAGTAATGGGGGAAAGTAACTTTGGAAATGACATTGCAATGTAATCATCCATATTGTGTATTGTGGTTAAAATTGATTAAAATAATATTGAAACTCCCCCAAGGGATTATGCAATTATAAGTCAAGTCCCAAATGGAAAAGGTTTTTGAGAACTTGGCAGATGTCTTAATGAAAATGAAGCATTATAGTAATATATTAGTGCTATTTGTATATTATTGACAGCAGGATCACTAAACTGTATAAATTACTGTCCACAAGAATGGCTGAATTGTTTTTCTTTCAGGAAATTTTTAATCAAATATAATTTCAGAAAAATAATTGTTTAATTTTGGCCTTACCTTTGATCCGCACGTTGATGGATCAATTATTAAACCGAGTTTTAGCCACTCATTCGCTTTGGAAGTTGACACTTTAAATATTTGATTTTGCACCCATTTTGTTTTATTACAGAATAAATTGTGGCGAATGCCAGAGACTATTACATGCAGCCTTGCGATAAAAAGTGGTTGGAGGCTCCAAGTTTTGTTTGCTGCCTGGTGGAGCAGCAGTGGGGACGGGAGGAGGGCAGGGTGGTCCCCACAGGGATGTGGGGCCCCTTGGAGCCCCCTGAGGGCTGGGCTCTGCTGGGTGTCCCCCCTGCCCCGCACACAGCAGCCCTGCAGGAGCAAACACAGCGGATTCACATCGGGACTTTTACTCCCATGCAGGAATTTCTGTTCCAGTGGTTAGCAAATAAACTGCCTGCCTGCAAGTACATAATATTTTAGTCTCTAATTTTAAAAATATGCTGTATTTTAATATCTTTTTTTTTAAAACAGATACCACTTTTTATGAAGCACTACATGAGTTGCTGATGGATAAATCACCCAAGCATGGTTAAAGAGACCCCAATCTCCAGATGGTACCAGATCCATTTAATTGTATCCTCTGACCTCATCTCACCTGAGCCTGCATTAAAATCATAATACAGTTCAAGTGTAAAAATGATATAGTGTTTATTCGTCCTGTTTATAGGGGGGCAAACACACAGTTAAATTCAGATGTCGAAAATTAGTGTAGTCATTTGAAAAGGTTGAGTTAGATCAAACTGACTCTCAGCATTTTATTTGCCCCTTTTTTATTCCAATGGCTCTGTGGCTGCAGCTCGGTGTCTCTGAATGAAGGGGGATGCTGAGGCAGAGGTGAGGTGGGTTTTGGGGCACGACAGAGGCAGGCCCAGCCCCGGGGAGAGGGGCGAAGCACGTGGTCTCATTTTTAATTTTCACTCTGTGTGATGAGGATGGGACACATGCACCACAAATGCCCTGCAAATATTTTAATATTTGAGTGCCCAAAGCATCTCTTCCCTCCGTGGTCCCATCCCTGCCACCCCAGCAGATGGGGATGCTCCTTCCCTTCTGTCAGGGTGACCCACACACCCCACAGAGAGATGCTTCTCCCTCCTGTATCAGTGCTTGGTATGAGCCTGCTTTCCCAGGAGCATGGAACCATAGAGCATGGCATGGGCTGTGTTGGAAAGGACCCCAAAGCTCAGCTCCTTCCACTCCCTGCCGTGGGCAGGGACCCCTTCCACAGGCCCAGGTTGCTCCAAGCCCCGTCCAAGCTGGCCTTGGACATCTCCAGTTCCACTTCCCTCCCACTCAGCATCCTCCCATGGGTGCAGAGCCTCGGGCTCCCACCAGAGCTGCTCCTTGCCAGGATGATCACCTGCAGCACACCCCACCCTGGGGGTTACCTCAAACCCTGCCCACTGTCCTCTAAAGCTGGTATTTTTGAATTGGCCAGAGGTCACACTTTGGGAACTCGTGATTGTGGGAGTAATTGATAATCCTGCTCACCCCGCAGTTCAGTGCATGCCTGAAATTCCATGTGAAATCCATGCTGACCTGTGTGTTGGCATGGCACCATCTCTTCATCACATAAAATGCTTCTCCATGGTGGGGAAGAGCCCAAGGGGGGATGGATGGCAGGGAGGGAGGGGAGGAACACAGACAAATAACCGAAATTATTATGAATGCATTGGCAGAGCCAGGTTAGCAGTTTTACTGCAGATATACTGGATTATGGAGAGAATTGAATAATTTATCCAGCAATTTTCACATAAGCAATATTATTAAAAATGAAGACATGAAAAAAGAGGTTAGTTATAGTGGAGAATATATATAGGCCATGAATAAATGTATTAGGCAGTAAGAGTAGTGAATGTTTTAGTAGGTTTAGACTAGATTAAAAAAACTTGTGTTTGATTTCAACTAAGTCCTAAAATATCTGCTGAGAAAAAAGCCCAGCTTAGGGTGGGCAGAGGCAGAAGGGCTCCGTGCTTGGTGTGTGTGAGCTGGGAGTGGTGCTGGGAGGAGAGGGAGCTCCTGTGAGCCTGGCAGTGCCTGGAGCTGCCCCATGGCCCAGGGACACCACCCGGGCCAGGCACAGTGGGGAGGTTGAGGGCTTCCAGGATCCCTGCTGCTCCTTGGTTATCCAGGATCCCTGCTGCTTCTTGGCTCCAGGGATCCCTGCTGCTCCTTGGTTATCCATGATCCCTGCTGCTCCTTGGTTATCCAGGATCCCTGCTGCTCCTTGGCTATCCGGGATCACTGCTGCTCCTTGGTTATCCATGATCCCTGCTGCTCCTTGGCTCCAGGGATCCCTGCTGCTCCTTGGTTATCCAGGATCCCTGCTGCTCCTTGGTTATCTGGGATCCCTGCTGCTCCTTGGCTCCAGGGATCCCTGCTGCTCCTTGGTTATCCATGATCCCTGCTGCTCCTTGGTTATCCAGGACCCCTGCTGGTCCTTGGCTCCAGGGATCCCTGCTGCTCCTTGGTTATCCAGGACCCCTGTTGGTCCTTGGCTATCCAGGATCCCTCCTGCTCCTTAGCTCCTGGGATCCCTGCTGGCCCTTGTTCTCCCATGATCCCTGCTGCTCCTTGGTTATCCAGGATCCCTGCTGCTCCTTGGTTATCCATGATCCCTGCTGCTCCTTGGTTATCCATGATCCCTGCTGCTCCTTGGCTCCCCAGGATCCCTGCTGCTCCTTGACTCCCTGGGGTCCCTGCTGCCCCTTGTTCTCCCATGATCCCTGCTGCTCCTTGGTTATCCAGGATCTGTGCTGCTCCTTGGCTTCCCGGGATTCTGGCTGCTCCTTGGCTTCCCGGGATTCTGGCTGCTCCTTGGCACGGGGCTGGAGCGGGATGGCAGCGGGACAGGGCAGTCCTGCTTGGCTGCCAGGTTTGAGCCCACATCCCAACTTTGGGAATCCTGGGTGCTGCCACTGCCCAGAGGGGATGGGATGTGCTCATCCCAGCATCTCTGCCTGGAGAGGAAACTGCTCCTGTGGACGGTGGCAGTGCCAAATAGGACAGTGGCAGTGCTAACAGAACAGGACGGTGGCAGTGCTAACAGGACGGGATGGTGGCAGTGCCCCAGGACGGTGGCAGTGCTGACAGGACAGGATGGTGGCAGTGCCCCAGCACAGTGGCAGTGCCCCAGGACGGTGGCAGTGCCCCAGGACGGTGGCAGTTCCCCACGATGGTGGCACCCCGGGGGCGCGGGCAGCGCTGGTAGCAGCGCAGGTGACGGAAATGGCAGCGATGTCCCCGCGCCGCCCGCTGTGTGTCCGTGTATCTGTGTGTTTGTGTGTCCGTGTGTCCCTGTGTCCCTGTGTCCGTGTGTCCGTGTATCTGTGTGTTTGTGTGTCCGTGTGTGCGTGTGTCCGTGTGTCCGTGTGTGTCCGTGTGTCCGTGTGTGTCCGTGTGTCTGTCTGTGCCCGCCTCCCTTATCTCTGCCCGCACGCTTATCTCGCCCCCCGCGCGCCCTGGCAGCCACGCCGAATGCTGATGAGCCGCGAGCGGGTGGCGGCCCCGGCATTTCCAGGCGCTGCCTTTGGGATCGAGGGGTTGGTCTGGCTAATTAGCCCGGAGCCTTCTCCTCCCCGGGCACGGAGGCCGGGGAACCGCGGCAACAGCCCCGGCGCTGCTGCGGCTGCCGTGCCACGGGCTGGAACCGGGCTGGAACCGGGCAGGAACCGGGCTGGAACCGGGCTGGAACCGGGCTGGAACCGGGCTGGCTCCTCCAGAGCCGCCCAGTCACTCACGGGGCACGGACAGAGAGAAAAACATCCCCGGGATCTTCGTGATCCAAATATTAGAATTGTTTTTTAAAAGGAGGCACAGTACAGATATATTTGTTATGTGTATATCTATATCCATCTCTATATCTAATTTATATCCATATCTATCTATATCTATATCTATACCATCTATATCTATGTTTAATCTATATCTATATCTATACCTATACCTATATCTATATCTATATCTCATCTATGTCTAATCAATGTCTATGTCTAATCTATATCTATATCTATATCTATATCTATATCTATATCTATATCTATATCTATATCATCTATATCTCATCTATATCTATATCTCGTCTATATCTATGTTATATATATAATGCATATATGCATATACACAAAACATACATATATGTACACACACACACACACATATTTATTTATTTATTCATTCATTTAGTTATACTTTCTGTAAATGGTCTAGTGGAAGGCGTCCCGGCCCATGGCAGGGGTCTGGAACAAGCTGAGCTGTAAGGTCCCTCCCAGCCCAAACCATGCCATTATTCTGTGATTCTATATGTGTGTATGGGAGTGGGTAGTGTGGGGAGGATTCCCCTGCCCAAGTCCACCCCTGGACCATCTCTGGAAGGCCAGAGCCATGGCAGGATGTTTAAATCACTGCTCTGTCAGTGTGGCTGGGACAGGCATCCGAGTCGGGCTCAGAGACAGGTTTGTCATAAATACAACTGAAATAAGTTTTAAATACAGGTATATATGTATCTGTGTGTACACAAACCCAGCCTCCCTTTCTTTCTTCTTTGTTTGTAGGAGAACAAACCTCAAAGTGCTTTCAGTCAGTGGTGACTCAGCAGAACGGCCAGGAGAAAGCTGAGAGCACAGTCCTGAATCTGCATGCTTGCTCTCCTTGGGGTTTGCTCCTTGCTGAGGTTTGTTGGGTTTTCATAAAATAGCTTACACTGCCTTGATGCTCCTAAAACAAGGCCATGAAAAAAATTCTCAAAAATGCTGATTTTCAAACTAAATGATGGCATGGAGGAGCAAAGCCCCCTTCTCACTGAGACTGATATTTCCAGTGTGGTGGTGCCTCGGCACACCAGATTCCTGATGGTGGGACTGGCAGGTCCTGGCTTTTATACAGGAGTCCTGTCCCACCCCATCCTGTCCCATCCCATCCCACCCCATCCCATCCCATCCCATCCCATCCCATCCCATCCCATCCCATCCCATCCCATCCCATCCCATCCCATCCTTGGATGGAGGGGAAGAGGACACAGAAGAGGACCCCATGTTTCCCTTGGGAATGCTGATTCCTCACCCCGACACAGGGCTGAGGTTTCCCCTTTCAGCTCCAGGTTTATTTTTTAAACACTGAAATTTGGGATGGAGGAACCAGGCCCACGAGGGTTTTGGTCCCATTGTGCAGGTGGGAGCCCGTGTGCCCCCTGGCATTCACAGAACAGATGCTCATTGGAGAAAATCAAATTCATCCACCCTTGCTGAAGCTGGATGGGCCTGGAGATGGGAAGGAGCCTGCTGGTGGCTGTGAGCAGCATGTGGGGTCACCAGAGACAGCAGGGACTGGTGGGACAGGGTGAGATGGGTGTCTGGGGTCACCAGAGACAGCAGGGACTGGTGGGGACAGGGAGAGTATGGACATGTGGGCCACCACAGACAGCAGGGACTGGTGGGGACAGGGTGAGATGGGTGTGTGGGGTCACCAGAGACAGCAGGGACTGGTGGGGACAGGGAGAGTATGGACATGTGGGGTCACCACAGACAGCAGGGACTGGTGGGGACGGGGCGAGTATGGACATGTGGGGCACCAGAGACAGCAGGGACTGGTGGGGACAGGGAGAGTATGGACATGTGGGGTCACCACAGACAGCAGGGACTG